TCAGCACGCGCCGCTCCCCGCGCGCCATCACAGCGGGGCGTAACGTCATCAGCACGCGACGCACCTCATCGCAGCGGAGCCGTACGTCATCAGTGCGAGCAGCGCCGGTCACGTGTCCCTTGTTTACCTCCGGCGGGAGTTGCGCTTCTGCGGCGGGCTGTGCGCGGGCGGGCGGCTTCCCTGGGAGGAGGGGAAGCACCTCGCGGTGAGGGCAGGTGGGAAGCGGACAGGTGGGAGGCTGGCTGGGGCCGCGAGGGCGGTGGTTCCCCTCGGGGAAGGCGGGAGACCGGGCTGCGGAGGGCCCCGCACTGCGGCACGACTGCAAGCATCGCTCAGAGAGCGGCGGGGGCTGCGGTCGCGGGGCGGGGTGGGAGGAGCCTGGAGAGGGACGGGCGCCGCAGCTCGTGAGTTGATTGCAGAGTTTTGGGGCCTTAATTTCGTAGAAGTGAAGCGTGTCCCATGTTTGGGAGCAGCTTCTGCCGCCGTGGCTCTCAGTGTTAAGGTATAACCTTTCTCCCTAAGCGATCTGTTCTTTATTACTAGACTTACAATGTCGCTGCCAACGAAGAGGTGTGGAAGACCCCCGGTGTTGTCTTTCTTGGAAAAGAAAAAAAGAAAACAAAGTCTTGATAGGAGGAGAGGGAAAACCAGGATTTATGTTGGAAATCATATCGACCGATGGCTGATGCTGAAGGAAAAACTGGATTTCAGAAACGATGCAGAAGTCGCTGGGTTTTTATTGGACTTGTGAGTAGACTGTCAACATGCTCTTCTGTTTAATAGTACCATGTAAATTCCTGGCATCCACATCAGCTGTGTTTTGTTTCTAGGTATGACAGCTATGACCCGCTGACAAAAGCTCCCATCTGTCCCCTCCCTGGGGGTGTGAGAAGAATCACTGTGAAAGAAGAAAGAACATTGTCAGACAGTGCTTGCTTAATAGCAGCTGATGGAACGTTAGTAGTGTACTCTCTTTATATGTGAAGGGGGCAAATGAAAGAATTTTCTTGATAGTACTCAAAAGGTTGCAGCTGAGATGGGAATATATAAGGAATGAGAAAATAAAATCAGCTGTATGCTCAAGTGTATAATTTGGCTATCATTTCTAGAAGCTTTTCTGTTCAATTTTTTGTTTGTATTGTTAAATATGTAATGGTAGTCTAGAGAAAACAAAACATCTTTACAGAACAATACATTGAAATTAGAATTTTGGGTTGGGTTTGCAGGTATGATGATGGTGACCGGTTGCCTAAAGAGGCTGCTTGTTCTGAACATGGAGACTTCAGCACTGTCACTGTGAAAGAGGAGCGAGAGATGCCACCTCATTGCTCATCAGTGGAGACAGATAACACGTTAGTGATACCACGGGGTTCTTTTTGCATGTTTTACATTTGAAAATGTTTCGTATTGACTTTTATTATCACTTTTAATTTAGCTTATCAGAAGCTCGCATCATTCAATTCATGCTCTGTTTCCTTACCTGAAAGGGGATGATCATTCAGTCACTGTGAGGGAAGCATCTGGGGGAGTTTTTGGAAGAGCTGTTTCTTAGAGTATACACAGCAAACTTCTTGTTCAGTGACTTGTCTTCCTGAAGTCTGTGAATGGAACAAGAAAGTAGCTGATACGTGTGAAATATTGGCTGCACTAGTAAATAACAAGGTTTTCAGTCACGCAGTGTACAGACACATGTATGGTTTAACGTTTTAGAAAAGAAAAATGTTTCTTTGTTGACTGTTTGAGTGATAACGCATATGAAGTGATGCATAAACCTACTTAGAAGTAGTGCTGTGCTCAAGGAGGCAACCACGCCATCAGTCGACTGCTGATGTCTTTTACTGCAGTGTCACCAGTAACTGAGGCATTCACAGTTGAGAGATCAGAGGAGCCTCAAATAGGTATGCTTGTCGTTTACTATCTATTTAGGTTTCAGTTATCCACAAGTGTTACTGAATAATCACAATTTTCTCCTTGTCTTAGTTATCAGATATTTTACAAATTTATCTTTTAATATGTGCAGGGGGACACTGAGATCCTAGGACATTGGCATTGCATGGTGTGTCCAAACCCTTCACTAACATGAAGTATGTAATGTGTGGAGTGTGTCTGTCTCAATTTTGTTTTTCACTATTTTTGTTTTGTTTTGGTGTGTGTGTTTGTGTGTCCCTAATTGTTTTCACTTTCAATTTTAGAAGGTGAACGTGTTGGGCTTCTGGAAGTAATTCACTGGCTCAGAAGAATTACTGGCAGCTGGATCAGGAGAAAACACCAGCGCTGATGAAGCTGAAAATTTCAAGTTAATTCTTCAAAACAGCACTTTCCTAGGACAGTACAGTTTTAGGTTGGACTGCTGCAATACTTTAATTCCTGGGACTGACTTCCTACAGGTGAGACAGAGATTGTTCTTAATTGATTGCTTACTTTTACCCTCTTCTAGGTGTGAGCAATGATTAGAGAAGTTGTTTGGGGGTGGGAAGGGGATTTTGGATTCGTGCTGATT